AAACAGGAAGTTCTGATCCGGTTCAGTCTGCACAGTACCAAGTCTGGAGTCCGGACCGGTCCAGAACCATGGAGCAAGGATGGTCCAGTTCCAGCAACAGAACCAGCAGCTTTCCACCTTCAGTCCATTGGGTCACAGCAGAACCGCATCGTTAACCGGGTCAGAACCGCATGTTTCCTTGAGTCAGAATCCAATGTGGCCGTCATGGCGGCCGTACGGTTCTGATAATTTTCTCTCTGATTCAGAACCAGCGAGTCCAAACTCGGCAGACATTCAGAACCGACGTTACCATGGCAGCGTTTGGAGCAGCAGCCATGTTGAACCCAGAAACCAACAGGCTGACAGAACCGGGTCAGGAAGGAAGCGAGGCAGGAAGCCGAGATCAAACCGTTCGCTGAGCTGCAGCGTTTCCTCACAACATCCTGAGTAAAAACACAGAACCGGCTTCCAGCGCCGGGCCGGGCCGGGCCGGGCCGGGATCTGCTGCTGCAGCCAAACAGAACCGGTTCTGATCAGTCCATTTACACCACAGAGCTGGAGGCGGCTAAAATCTTAAAATACCAAACAGAAATGATCCGCATCGAAGATGAGGTCCGGAATATTTCAGTGCAGCTAAAAATGTTCTGATGTTCGGCGCCGGAGCGGGTCCGACCGGAACCTTAGTCCAAACTGATTCAACACAGAACGTCCGGGATCCATTTCTGTCCAGAAAACTTCCAGAACCACCCAGACCCAATCTGAAACCCTGTTCTGGAGCAGAACCAACAGCTAGAACATGTACTGGACGGGTCCAAACCGACCCGACTCAGAACCACGAGTTAAACCCAAACAATGTCCAGAAATCTGAACCAAAAAGATCCAAATGGGTCAAAAATAAAACCTTCAGAGGCTGATAATTTTAATAACAGATTCTGCAGAACCAGAACCGAAGGAGACCCGACCCACATCAGGTCAACTGGTCCAAAAAGTTCTGAAGCGACCCAGAAATCCAGATTTTAAAGGTCCGAAGCAAAACATTGATCGGAAGAAAATCTGAAGAAATGAGAGGAAAGACGATCCAACACCAACCCAACAGAACCGGAACAAGAACCCCGGCCAGGCTCTGGACAGAACCTCTGGTTCTGGACGGGACCTGCTGTCAGAATTTGTCTCTGGTTCAGGACTGCGGCGGTATAGTCCAAGTCCCGGATCCATCTGTGTGGCGGATCTTCTGGTTCTGGTTCCAGCTGCGGTCCAAACCCAGAAAGTCTCCACCAATCCGCTCCAGTTTTCCTGCTGCAGATATTTCTCACACTTTTTCCTTCCACACAACTTTCTCTGCATATCCTGGGCCGTGGTGTCGTCCTTGATGGACCGGACCGGAACCACATATATTACTTTGGGTTCAAACCACCGGAATCATCAAAACTGAATAGAAACGGATCCGATTCCTGAAAACAGAACCAGAACCGCTCAGAAGGCGCTGAAATAAAAAGTAACGTGAAGCAGTCGCCGACTATCTGCCAGTTCCACAAACGGGTCAGAACCGACTGCAGGAAGTCAGCCTGCCTTCTAGAACCGGGCCAGAACCTGGAACTGGTCAGAACCGGGCCAGAATCCAGAACCAGGCCGGGTCACAGCGAGCTGCTTCTGAAGGTGGAGTTTGGTACCTTACCACTGAGCGGCTTCAGAACCGACCTCCGGGTCAGAACCGGCCCGTCCCGGTTCTGATGCTGTTCTTCTCCCTGCAACAGGAACGCGGCGCCGCTCTGATGCTGCGTTGGCGCTGCAGTCAGCACCGGATCAGAACAGGAAACCGGAACGTGACGAACCAGAACGGGTCTGTAGTTCTGTTCAGCGATCGGAACCGAAGCGCTCGGCGGAGGCGGAGTGGTGCTGAGGGAGCCGCACGTCCTGAAGGAAACAAAGTTCTCCTGCCGCCAGGAGGAACCCACCTGCAGCCCAGAGACTCGGCGCCAAAGATCCAGATCAGCTACTGCAGCCAGCGATCCACCATCTTCCAAGATGTCTGCCGTCTCACTGAGTCGCGTGGCGTCGGCGGCGCCTGACGCTGCCGGCGGCGCCCAAAGCCTCTGCGGGTCTGAGTCACGGCCGGGCGGTACCAGCGGCGCTGCGGCGAGGCTGAGTGGGCCGACCAGTCGTTCTGCTGCAGCAGCTCCTCTGCAGCATGGAGCGCCGACTTCACACCGACGCCTCGACCAATCAGCAGCGGCGCCTCGGCGAGCTGCAGCCACCGCCTGAACATCCTCCACCTACAGACAGGAAACCACACGACACAGGAAGCAGCGCCGCCGCACCTGCTGCTGCTGCAGAACCCGGCCAGAACCAGCACCGTGCACAGCTCTGAGCCGGGACAGAACCGGGTCCAGATCAGAACCGGGTCCAGATCAGAACCGGGTCCAGATCAGAACCTGGTCCAGATCAGAACCGGGTCCAGATCAGAACCTGGTCCAGATCAGAACCAGGTTCAGATCAGAACCAGGTCCAGATAAAAACCGGATCCAGATCAGAACCAGGTTCAGATCAGAACCTGGTTCAGATCAGAACCTGGTCCAGATCAGAACCGGGTCCAGATCAGAACCGGGTCCAGATCAGAACCAGGTCCAGATCAGAACCAGGTTCAGATCAGAACCAGGTCCAGATCAGAACCAGGTCCAGATCAGAACCGGGACCAGATCAGAACCGGGACCAGATAAAAACCGGGACCAGGACAGAACCGGGTCCAGATCAGAACCGGGTTCAGATCAGAACAGAAAACAAAGTGAGCAGCGTTTTGGTTCTGGACCCGGCTGGACCAGCAGGTTGGGCCAAACCACTTGTTCCCAGATCAGCACTGGTTGGGCCCGGCCTGGTCCCGGCCCGGTCCGGCCTGGCCCGGTTTCATCAGCTTTAGGTTTCATTTTTAATTGATATTTCAGACATTTGGTTTCAAAAATAAAAGTATTATGTTGATCTGCAGGGAGAAAACAAAATGTTTTATTTATTCAAACTGGATCAAACCCAAACCGACACGAACAGAACTTCTGCTGGTTCCGATTAAAAACACAAGAAACTAAAAGATAAAAGTTTATTTTGTTTTTAACAAAAATTAGGTTAAAATCAAAAATCAAACATGAAATAAAAGCAGATTTTAAATAAAGGCTGAAATGTTCTGAAACCAGAACATCCAAACCGGGTCAGAACTTCGTTAGAAGCTCCAACCAGCTTAAAGATTAGTGACGTTATAAAACAAAGCTACATGGTTCTGAAGGCCGCTCCAAACGGGTCGACCCGGTTCCGTCTCCCGGGTCGCTGCGGCGTTCCTGACTGTCTGCCAGTTCAGCCAATGAAGCAGCTTCTCTGGAGGACGGTCCAATCAGGTGCAGGGGCGGGGCTTCAGATCAGGACGCTGGACACCGGCACGCGAGTGGACCGCCCGCTCTTCGGAACCACGATGGGCTCGTCGGCTGGAACCACAACAACCATCGGTGACTCAGGAGGTTCCGGTCGGGTGGGTCTGGAGGCAGAAGGTGGGGCTCACCTGCGGGGACGTGGCTCTCCGCCCGGGTCCGGTCGCTCTCCACGAAGAGGGCGGTGGCGAGGAAGAAAGCCCCGCCCACCACGGCGACGAAGGAGCAGAGCAGCAGAGAGAGCTGCAGGGAGCGGAACCGCCACAGGAACGAGTCGGACCTCCGCAGGGAGTCGGACAGCTGCGGCACGGGAGAGAACAGCGTTAGGCTTTGACTAGGCCACTGTAAAACAGGTGGAACTGCCGGTGCGCTGCGGTTCTGCTGCAGGACCTTCTGTCTGCAGGTTCCGGTCCGGTCCGGAAGGACTTACCACTCCGATCATGTAGGGACTGCCGGCGTCGCCCAGCAGGTGAGAGACGACGATCTGCAGAGCTTCAGCCGTGGAGCGGCGGGTCGGAACCACCACGTACTGAACACAGAAACACGGGACGAAACCGGGTCACCGACGGGTTCTCTGGTTCTGGAGAACCTCACAGTCCGGTCCTGATCGGACCTGGAAAAGATCTGAGATGAAGGTTCTCACCAGCAGGATGTCGGCAACGATGGCCCAGTTCATGGAGAGGAAGGTTTCTCCTAGGAAGATGAAGACCTGAGGAAGAGGAGGAGGGGGAGGAAGAGGAGGGGAGGAAGAGGAAGGGAGGGGGAGGAGAGGAAGAGGATAGGAGGAAGAGGAAGGGAGGAAGAGGGGGAGGAGGGAAGGAAGAGGAAGGGGGGGGGAGGGGGAAGGGGAGGGGAGGAGGGGGGGGGGGGGGGGGGGAAGGGGAGGGGA